AGCAGGGTCAGACCTGACGGGGACTGGTCCAGCAGGGTCAGACCTGAGGGATGAATCAGTTTTTAAGCTCTGTGGTGTTTTGAAATGAATAAATCTGTTATTTATTTTCACTGTTAATGAAACTAGTTTACATTGTTTGTCATGTACTGTCCACTTGGTGGTGGTCTGTGTTACTGTGTGTGTGTGTTACTGTGTGTGTGTTACTGTGTGTGTGTGTTACTGTGTGTGTGTTACGGTGTGTGTGTGTTACTGTGTGTGTGTTACTGTGTGTGTGTTACTGTATGTGTGTTACTGTGTGTGTTGTGATGAGCTCTATGTTAGAGTTGTTCAATCAGCACCATTGTGCTTTGTTTTATTGTTCCTACCTTCTGTTTAATGTTCACTGTGATTAATGCATTTCTATAAAAATCATCACGTGCACTTTTTGTTTTTACTGCTACGTATTTATTGTATCTGGAATATTTTGTAAAAGCTTTTTCAACACTGTGATGCTGAGGCATTTTTTAAAACCATCTTGTGAGTCGAAATGTTTTTTACAAAGTGGCCTTTATTTATTTTAAAGTTTCACCAGATTGATCTCCTGGATTAGAGTCCAGCTCCTGTGGCAGCTCCGATTTGTTTTCATGCAGACTAACTGGATTTTACAGGCATATCGTTTGGTTTTGACCCAGGGAGCAGCAGCAGTATGATTACTCCTCATGTTTCAGTTCTCAGGAACTTTCTGTTCTGTAGCTCAGAAGGTCCAGCCCAAAGAACCCGGCGCTGGAGCTTCTGTCCGTGTTTGATGAGCTGGACGACACCTGATTGTATTTTTAAGACTCGTGTTCATCAATGGATGCACAAGTCGCTTTGAGCTGCTCAGACTGAGTGGGAAAGTGCCTGAAGCCAGTGTGACAGAAGATTATTGAACTGATGGATCGGTTTGTTTCAGTGTGGACGTTTCTTCACAACCTTCTGTCTCCTGCTGGACATTCAGTCTAATGTGGGGACAAACGTTCTGTGTTCATGTGTGTCTGGTAAATATTAACCTGCTGTCCTGTGAAAATAAAGGTTGACCTATTTTAACACCAATGAAAGAGTTTTGTTGTTTTTAAAGCGGGTCAAAGATCAAAGCAAGATAATGAAGAACATTAGAGTTTTTCAGATTTTATTTCTCGTGGTGAGACAACATGCAGGTTCGTGACAAGTCCGTCGGCAGACGTGGGTTCAAAGAGCTGAGAATTACGTCCTGAACATGAAGCTCAGACAAACAGCAGGAAATAAATAGACGTTGGTGTCTTCAGTCTAAACTCATGTCTTCATCGTCCTCCTTCTCTCTGGAGTCGCTGTCCTGATCCGGCTTCGTCTCCGTCTCCATGGCTTGAGCGAACGCCTCCACATCTGCACAACACATTTGTAAAAACTTTATTTTATCAAGTGTTTTCTCATTTTATTGAACTCTGAATCAAAGCTGTGCACATGGAGCTGCACCAAACAAACGTTGAGTCTCGACTACCGTTTGATTCAGGCGCTTCTATGAAACTGAATCCTGACGCCTGCCAGATTAAAATACAGTAATCCCTTGTTTATCACGAGGGATCCGTACCCTGAAGCCCCACAATACGTGAAAAACCACGAAGTAGGAATAGTACAAGTAGTTGGTAGTTTTAGTATATATACTGTATATATGTGTGTATATATATATATATATATATACATAAGTGTGTATATATATATATATATATATATATATATATATATATATATATATATATATACATACATATAGAGAGGTGGGCTTGTGATCCGAAGATCGCCGGTTCACGCCCCGGCCCAGACAACATCAAAATTGTGGGTGGGGTAGGTGAAACACCCACACTTGCCCCCACCCTCATTCGCCCCACTCTGGGCCCATGAGCAAGGCCCTTAACCCCCACCATGTGCTCCCTAAAACAGGTCTCTCTTGAAAATGAGTTCTCGTGGCTCAATGAGACTAACCTGGATAAATAAAGGCTAAATGAAAAAATGAAAAAAAATATATATAAAGTTGTTTTAAACTTCCCACACTCTTGCAATATTCTATACAATGTCTCTAAACACTCCCTCTCTACCTCCGCTGCTCTCTGCCACAGGTAGTGCTATTGGCCACGCCTACTTCTCCGCTGCAGAGGTGACATACAGGTCCTTCTCAAAAAATTAGCATATTGTGATAAAGGTCATTATTTTCCATAATATAATGATAAAAATGAAACTTTCATATATTTCAGATTCATTGCACACCAGCTGAAATATTTCAGGTCTTTAATTGTTTTAATACTGATGATTATGGCATACAGCTCATGAAAACCCAAAATGCCTGTCCCAAAAAATTAGCATATTTCATCCCACCAATGAAAGACAAGTGTTTTTAATACAAAAAACGCCAACCTTCAAATAATCATGTTCAGTTATGCACTCAATACTTGGTCGGGAATCCTTTTGCATGAATGACTGCTTCAATGCGGCGTGGCATGGAGGCAATCAACCTGTGGCACTGCTGAGGTGTTATGGAGGCCCAGGATGCTTCGATAGCAGCCTTAAGCTCATCCAGAGTGTTGGGTCTTGCGTCTCTCAACTTTCTCTTCACAATATCCCACAGGTTCTCTATGGGGTTCAGGTCAGGAGAGTTGGCAGGCCAATTGAGCACAGTAATACCATGGTCAGTAAACCATTTACCAGTGGTTTTGGCACTGTGAGCAGGTGCCAGGTCGTGCTGAAAAATGAAATCTTCATCTCCATAAAGCTTTTCAGCAGATGGAAGCATGAAGTGCTCCAAAATCTCCTGATAGCTAGCTGCATGGACCCTGTGCTTGATAAAACACAGTGGACCAACACCAGCAGCTGACATGGCACCCCAGACCATCACTGACTGTGGGTGCTTCACACTGGACATTTTGGCATTTCCTTCTCCCCAGTCTTCCTCCAGACTCTGGCACCTTGATTTCTGAATGACATGCAAAATTTGCTTTCATCCAAAAAAAAGTACTTTGGACCACTGAGCAACAGTCCAGTGCTGCTTCTCTGTAGACCAGGTCAGGCGCTTCTGCCGCTGTTTCTGGTTCAAAAGTGGCTTGACCTGGGGAATGTGGCACCTGTAGCCCATTTCCTGCACACGCCTGTGCACGGTGGCTCTGGATGTTTCTACTCCAGACTCAGTCCACTGCTTCCGCAGGTCCCCCAAGGTCTGGAATCGGCCCTTCTCCACAATCCTCCTCAGGGTCCGGTCACCTCTTCTCGTTGTGCAGCGTTTTCTGCCACACTTTTCCCTTCCCACAGACTTCCCACTGAGGTGCCTTGATACAGCACTCTGGGAACAGCCTATTCGTTCAGCAATTTCTTTCTGTGTCTTACCCTCTTGCTTGAGGGTGTCAATGATGGCCTTCTGGACAGCAGTCAGGTCGGCAGTCTTACCCATGATTGCAGTTTTGAGTAATGAACAAGGCTGGGAGATTTTAAAAGCCTCAGGAATCTTTTGCAGGTGTTTAGAGTTACGTCGTTGATTCAGATGGTTAGGTTAATAGCTTGTTTAGAGAACCTTTTCATCCATCCATCCATCCATTATCTTTACCCGTTTATTCCATTTTGGGTCACGGGGGTCACTGGTGCCCATGTCCAGCAATCACTGTGCGAGGGGCGGGGTACACCCTGGACGGGTCGCAAGTCCATCACAGGGCCACACAGAGACAAACGAGACAAACAACCATTCACACTCTCACTCACACCTAGGGACAATTTAGAGTTACCAATCAGCCTAACATGCATGTTTTTGGTCTGTGGGAGGAAACCGGAGTACCCGGAGAAAACCCACGCATGCACGGAGAGAACATGCAAACTCCACCCAGAAAGGCCCCTGGACCGGGGTTTGAACCAAGGACCTGCTCGCTGAGAGGCAGCAGCTCTACCAGTTGCGCCACCGTGCTGCCCAGAACCTTTTCATGATATGCTAATTTTTTGGGACAGGCATTTTGGGTTTTCATGAGCTGTATGCCATAATCATCAGTATTAAAACAATTAAAGACCTGAAATATTTCAGTTGGTGTGCAATGAATCTGAAATATATGAAAGTTTCATTTTTATCATTACATTATGGAAAATAATGACCTTTATCAAAATATGCTAATTTTTTTAGAAGGACCTGTATGACACGCTATATGAAGAAGCTTCTCCTGCAGTTTGGGCTGCACACAGGTACTAAATCAGTGCTTAATTTGAGCTGGATCCGGTCGGAACAAGATCCTGGAACTCTCATTTTAACCGGGTGCATTCCAGCAACTGTTTGCTTGAATCAGGCAACTCAAATCTCCACCCCTAAAAGTCCAGTCATCGTGCATTTTTATTTTGATTATTTATTAAAAATACAAAGAGAGGAGACATTGCCCAGTCTGTGGAGTGGATGTTCCGGCTGCAGCAGGCGCACACGCTCCTGTCCAGCAGAGATACGAACAGCATGTCCTGCAGGGATGAAGTGTCTTCATCTTTATGGCAAGCCAAGTGATCCATTAATAGCCAGACGTGGTAAAAGTGGCTATTAATGGGTCACTTGGCTTGCCATACCTTACGCACAGCAGTGTCTCCAGACAGCTCTACAGAGCGAGCACAGCTGCTGATGTGAACTCAAGCACGTTTCAGACATAACAAATAAAAACGCTTAGTTACAATAAAATAAAATAAAAAATAAGAGAGAAATGTTTGATGTGTATTATTCACATTAATCACAGATCAAAACAACGGTGCTAATTTGTCAAAATAACAGTGATCAAAATGTCGAAAAGAAAGTCCACTTTACTTTCATGATTTAATGGATGGATGGATTGTCCTTAGTTGGACAACTGAGACGAGGCAGTTGCAACTGAGTTTGGAGCAGTAGGAGCAACAACGCGCAGGAATGAAATCAGCCGAGAATAATTCGGCTGAGAAGTGTGTGTGGGGAGTGGGGGGTGGGGGGTGAGGCACTTGACAGGATCGAAGCTGCTCTATTCACACACAACCTGTTGTTGCTCTCTAAAATAGTAATTTAATCAGGTGTTTACCAATGTAAGTAAACGTAGATGTTTTAACAGCCCGTCAAAATAGGCTACACCAAAATGCAGGAAATGGCATCTAACTCCTAAGCTGTGCATTCCTGCACGTCGCAGTCGTCGGACCATTAACCATTTCACTGCCGCACGTTTCACAGATGTTTATAACTCTGAAATGACCATTCAGCCCCCGGTGTTTCTCACTACTATTGATGAACTGACATCCCAGTTCAACTCTGTCTGCTTAAAGACTCTGGATCATGTCGCTCCTGTTAAAACCAAAAAATCAAAACTCAGATCAGAACTGTGGCTGAGTGACGTCACCAAGGCCATTAGGCAGCAATGTAGGAGGGCGGAGCGTAAGTGGAGGAAAGCCAGGCTGCAGGTCTCTTTTCAAATACTGAAAGAGTGTTGGCGCCGTTATCAGAAAGCAGTGAAAGCTGCTAAATCCAAATACTTTTCTGATATTATAACCTCAAACTCTCACAACCCACGTGTCCTCTTCTCCAACCTAAACTCTGTTCTCCATCTCACTGAACCATCACCTCTGGAAGCCTTTTAGTTCTGCAGCGGCAGAGCTTAAATGTGGGGTTCCGCAAGGGTCCATCCTGGGTCCCCTCCTGGGTCCCCTCCTATTCTCTTTATACCTGCTGCCGCTTGGTGCTCTTTTCCAGAAACACAACATGCCCTTCCACTTCTACGCCGATGACTGTCAAATTTACTTCTCCCTAAAACACAATGGCACATGCTCTATTCAACCTTTGCTCGACTGCCTGGCTGATATCAGGGACTGGATGGCTTTAAAGTTATTAAGTTTCAATGAAAAGAAGTCTGAAGTCATGTTGTTCCCTCCCAATGACACGATCATAAACCACTGCATCGACCTCTCCGCTCTAACCCTGTCAGAAAAACAAAGAGTCACCAATCTGGGAGTGATAATGGACCCTTCTTACCCCTTCACACACACCCTCCTCCGCCCCCCCCTCCCCCCCACACACCTCGGCCCGCACCCCACCCACCATTGGCGTTCCGGCATTCATCAGTTTTCAGCCTTGTGCTGAACAATTTTAAATAATTCATTTTAAATAAAAATCCATGCCGATCGTGCAGCTCATCCATCAATCAGCCAATTGTGTGTCATGTCCAATCTTATTTTGAAAAACCGTGATAGAGCAAGTCCTCAAAAAACGAACCGAGAAGTAGCGAGGGACTACTGTATACATATTTACATTAGTACCATCATCAAGTACCTCTATGTACCAGGAGGTGGCAGTAACAAGCCAGAAGAGGAAAAACAGGATTTAAAAAATATACAAATATAGATTTAAGGGATTGTTTCGTGCATTTAGAAGGAAACACCTCAAGAAGCCATGACAACTAAGTCAGAATACATCGTTTCAGAACATATATAACATTTTAATATTTTAACAAGCTGCTAAACATTTAAGTTACAAAATAAATTATTACAATCCTTTAGCTTGTAATCAATTATTGTAAATTAAAACTAATTTATAAACACAACTTTATGACTTAGAGTAAAACTTTTTTTTTTTCTGTTCTGAACCCAGTTCATGTTTGTATGAAAAGTTCCGCTGATGTCACCGTATCAGGTTTAATGGAGGCATGACAATCAGAGTATGCGTGTGTGACCTCTGACCTCCTTTGTTGGCTGCCTCGATGGCCTCTGCCGGCAGGCCGAACTGCTTCATCAGAGGTCCTAACTGTCCGGAGGCCAGAGCGCTGCTGAACATGCTCATCGCCTGCAGAGAGCCAGCGACATTAAACATGACCATTCGTTCCTCACGTGACGTCTGTTCACCTGAACGACACGTTTAACAACAAACTACCGGAGAGACATTCCTGTTTCTGAACGGAGCTGCGGTGACTCGAAGATAAACCAGGGGTGTCCAAACGTTTTCATCATGTGGGCCAAAACTGTCCAGATCAAAGTACAGTAGGGCTGCAAAACGTTGAAGATCAAAAAAATTTACAAACTTACATTTATCCATCCATCCATTATCTTTACCCGTTTGTTCCATTTTGGGTCACGGGGGTCGCTGGTGTCCATGTCCAGCAATCACTGTGCAAGGGGTGGGGTACACCCTGGACGGGTCACAAGTCCATCACAGGGACACATAGAGACAAACGAGACAAACAACCATTCATTCTCTCACTCACACCTAGAGAGAGTTACCAATCAGCCTAACATGCATGTTTTTGGTCTGTGGGAGGAAACCGGAGTACCCGGAGAAAACCCACGCATGCACGGAGAGAACATGCAAACTCCACCCAGAAAGGCTCCTGGACCGGGGTTTGAACCAGGGACCTGATCGCTGAGAGGGAGCAGTTCTACCAGTTGCGCCACCGTGCTGCCCAACTTACATTTATATTCATTTTTAAACTCTTAACATGAACAATATTTGAAAAAAGACCAAAGTCAAATTTTGGTGGAGACAGTTTTAAATTGTTTTACATCCAAAACATTAAGACTCAAACATTCTCAAACATTAACCTTATATTTAAAGAAGGGGGGGTTAATTTATATGATTTGTTGGGTCTATTGTTTGTTTTCTTGTGCTTGTAAAGTTCATTTTAGTCTTTTGTCAGAAACAAAAGTGTGACGTGAGTAACTGCTCTTTAAGTGATCAGCTGTTTGGACCACGACGGGCCTGAAGAATGATAAAACTGAGTCACTGAAACAGATTCATAGAAGGGTTGAAGGGACACTAATGAAGTTGATCAACTTGTATGCAGACGATACACGTTATATTCCTTTAAAATGTCCAGTTTTCCTTTATTAATCATTAAATCAGCTGCTATGGTTTTCTTTAAAAACACAATATTTAGCCAAGTTTTATGAACGACTTGCTCAGAGTCTACTTTTTGGTGGACAACAGTAAAAGTTTCTGATGCTTTTTACCATAAATAACAAACAAAAATAAGCTAAATAATATAATTATTTATAACCAAAGTTTAACATCATACTCAATACTGCTCATTTTGCAAATATTTTTTCATCTGTTTTGCTGTGAAACCTAAAAAAATATATTAAAATAAAAGTATTGCCATTAAATTGGCAGGAAGTCTACAATTAAACATGTGGACCAAAATTATTTCATTCCTTAATCGCAGTTGTGGACCGCACAAAATGACTCTTAGGGCCGCAAATGGACCTCAGACACTTTGGACACCCCTGAGCTAAACCAAAGAGACGATCCAGCAGCTCTGGGCCCGGAAGAACCAACCTGTTGAAACTGAGGCGAGCTGAGCGTGTTGTGCAGCTCCTCGGAGCTCTGAGGCAGCGACTCGCCCGATGGCAGGAAGGGCATCAACCTGCGCTGCACCTCAGGGTGGGTCAGGATGGGGGCCATGACCTCAGGGGTCAAGACGCCGGCAAGGTCCACTGCAGGACACACACACACACACACACACGCACACACACGCACACACACACACACACACACACACACACACACACAGAGCTTAACTCCCTTACTAACCGAATCAGAACCAGTGAGAAGTTGTTAGCATAGCTGGTTGAGGGCCGATTTTAAAGAAATATTTCAGGCATTTTGAAATGTAAAAATTGTGAACAGTTAATATCTTACCTGCAGTTAATCTTGGATTAACTACATTAACTACACTAACTGCTGGATTACAACATGCGTGCTTTTTGTTCAATGTGCATTCTGTGAGGCGGAAAACCGCTAAAACGGTCAAGATCTTCTTAGGTCCGGAGTTTCTTGCGAGCAAATGATTACAGCCGAGTACCTCCGCTCACATGACATCCCACATGACATCGCAAGGAGTCCTGGAACACAGTGGTGTGTGATCTCTGCAGCGAGGCAAAGGAGGTGGTGCAGAGAGAGAAAGCAAAAGCGGAGCTGCAGGGCCAGCTCTATCGTCTTGTCTGAGAGAAGCTGTCCCTCATCTAGTCTGAGACACTCTCTTGTCTCATCTGGGAGACACTTTCTCATCTTGCTCTCTTGTCTCAGCTGGGAGGCACCATTTCGTCTCGGCTGAGAGACGCTCTCACCTTCAGCTGAGAGATGCTCTTAAGTCTAGGCTGAGAGATGCTCTCTCGTCTCGGCTGGGAGATGCCCTCTTGTCTAGTCTGAGAGACGCTCTCTCATCTTGTCTGGGAGACGCTCTCTCGTCTTGGCTGCGAGAAGCTCTCTCGTCTGGGAGACACTCTCTCGTCTCGGCTAGGAGAAGCTCTCTCGTCTGGGAGACGCTCTCTCATCTGGGAGATGCACTCTCGTCTTAGCGACGCTCTCTCGTCTTGGCTGGGAGGCGCTCTATCGTCTCATCTGAGACGCTCTCTCGTCTCATCTGAGAGACGCTCTCTCATCTGGGAGACGCTTTCTCGTCTCAGCTGGGAGAAGCTCTCTCCTCTCAGCTGAGAGACGCTATAATGTCTTGGCAGACAGACGCTCTCTTGTCTCAGCTGGGAGATGCTCTATCATCTCGGCTGAGAGATGCTCTCATGTTTTGCTCTCGGTTTCTGACTCTCTCACCTCCCTGACTGCTGGCAGGAACATTCATGGTGGCCAGGATGCTCTGCAGGTCCCTCAGCTGGATGGGCTGCGTGGGGTTGGCCGCTGCCGCTGCCACAGACGATGCAGCAGGGGTGGAGGGGGTGGTGGCTGTGGGGGAGGTGGGCAAGGGAGTGATGGGGGTGGTAGGAACTTGGGAAGAGCCAATCCGGCTGGCGGTTGAGGTGGAGGTTGGCGTGACAGCGGTGGATGGGCTGAGAGGAGAGAACACAGACAGAGCATCAGGTGTTCATCCTCAACTCTAACGAGCTTCAACTTTACGGCTCAAAAATCTTTTAGGCTTCGTTTAGAAGATGCTGAGACTCGACTGCTTCCTCCCTGAGCCAGGTTCTGTGTGATTTATTCGGCATTATGTCTGACACTAATCTGTTCAACAGAAGGAGCAAACATTGATCACCTTGTGGAGGAGTTGCTGACTGCAGGAACACTGCTGCTGCTGCTGCTGCTGCTGCTCCCCAACAGGTTGGCCAGTCCAGGCCCAGCCAGAGCCCCCAGACCACCTGAAAATCAGAGGAGCTTTGTTAATCTGACCGCAGCAGAACCTATCTTTGTGTTTTAATCCTGTTCGGGTTTACTTACCAATCCCTCCCAGTCCGGTCGGTCCAATGAGCTGCATGAGCTGGTTGTGACTCATGTTACCTAGAAGGCTCTGCAGGCCACCCTCACCTTCACACGAGAGAAGAAAGGGATGAGGACTGGAGATATTCAAAAGTTGAATCTGACCGGGGTAAACATGAGTGTGGGCTACCTCCCAGTGCAGACAGATCGTGTCCTCCGCCGCCGCCACTGCCGAGCGAGCCGGGCATAGGCGGATTGTTCAGATACTCGTTGACTTTACGGCAGAACTCATCATCCTTATCACTCTTGGGTTCCTGAGGTCAAACAAACAAACAAACAAACAAACAAACATCAAAATTCCTGCCAGGCGTTCAGATCGGCTTTTTTTTTTTCCAAAAAGTTCTACAATGAAGATTATAAAACGATGACAAACGATACAGTTAAAGCTGTTTTGATCAAATACTTTTTTTAGTTTTGTTGCACTTTCATGCTAGATGTGTTGGTGCCTCAGTGTGCTGCAGTGGGGAACCCTCAAGGCCTTCTACGTCTTCAAAGAAGGCCTAGAAGAATTCAACACATAAAATGCTGCATTTCAATCTGTATTTATTTTATTTTTTCTTTTATTTTTAGAAACTACTTTTCAGTTGAGTAAGAAACTTTTGAATTCATGAAAATGCAGTTCTCCAATCAGGTTCTTTTAAATTTGTGTCTCCAGGCAGAAATTCATTCAACCTTTATTTAGACAGGTAAATCCCATTGAGCCTCGAGGACTCGTTTACAAGAGAGACCTGATTTCAACAAAGAAAGATGACAACAATGGACAACACAGACAACAATAGACAGTTATAAAAAGGCATACAGATTAATTTTTTTACAAATAAGATGGCTAAAAAAGTAACAAAAACAGCTAGATTATAAGGCAAATGTAGAAAACTAAAAACAGGAACATGTCTACATTGGTCCCTGCCAAGAGTCCAACAAAGCCACTTAGAGAGGTCAAGGTCAAGAGCTTCAGGTCTTTTTGTAAGATATTCCAGGAAACAGGAGCGGAGTAGGAGAAGGCCCTTTTACCAAGTTCAGTCCGCACTGAGGGAACACTGCAGGTAATAATGTCCTGAGAGCGCACGCTGTAGCTGCACTCATGCAGAGACATGTAGGAGGAGATGTATGAAGGCAGCAGACCAAGAAGTGATTTAAAGATGAAAATGTATCAGTGAGAGAGTCTGAGTGAAGTTAATGATGTCCAGCTAACCAGTGAATACAGGGTGCAGTGGTGGGTACGATAATCACAGCCAGTTATGAATCTTAGTGCACCATGATAGACAGCATCCAACATCTGCAGCATCCAACATCTGCAGGGTTCTTGTAGGAGCGTTCATGTAAATAATGTCGCCGTAATCAATGGAGGGAAGGAAAGTCACAGATACAAGGTGTTTCCTAGTGTGTGTCTGACGGAGCTCTCATTGGCCTTCACTGTCCAGAGAGAAGGCTCAGTTCAGTCAGAGTCTCTCTAGCTGACAGGAAAATGAACCAAACACAGTGTACATGTAGAGTGGGTGGGGCCAAAGCATGGGGCTCTGAGCCTTCGGGAAGGCCCTGCAAGGCTGTTGTTTTTTTACTACGTGAAGATTTATGATACATTCAATTGCGACCTGTAAATTAAAAATCCACACTGAAAATGTAGTTGCTCTAAACACCACCACCACCACCACCACCACCAAAAACAACAACAACAACCACAAATAAGGTTAAATATCCCATTTAGATTTACAGATAATTTTAAATATTACAGTTGTGTTTAGGTTTTATTACATGGTGACATTTTACAAGAACACCAAGTTCTGTGGGCTACTGTAAACTTTCAGTTTGAATGACTGAAATTACATGTTGTACTTGAACACTTGAGGCAGGGGCTGCTGGGTAATCTTGGGAAAGACATGGGTGGATGTTTTCAGGTTCAGATGGTTTTTTTTCTTGTTTTTTTTTTCTGTTCAGTGTTGGGTTTATGTTCCGGTTGTTGTTAGTGATTGTAAAAACAAAAGTTAGCTGTTGTACCTGAAGTATAAAAAGAGGAACGCACTTCCTGTTCAGAGTTCCTGTGTTGAAAATCTAAAGTCAAAATGACATAAACGGACTGCGTCTCAGCGTGTCTAAGGTCGAAACATTACGCCACAACTACAGTATAATCTCGGTTTACCACTTTAAAATAAACAGAGAAATTATTACAGTTGTCTTAAAAAATCCATTAAAATTGTGAAATAAAGTTTGGTTTTCAAAACATTTATAAAAACATCAATTTACTGTTGAAAAAAGTTCAAATGTAAGTTTTTACAACATATTACAAGATTTAAAAGTTGATTAAAATGTAAAGTTTTAGCAGTTTGGGTTTGAAATCTTTATTCATACAGAGAAATACACATTCAGGTTTTAACCATTGAACCAATCCTGCTTTCAGAAACAAAGCTCATGACCTGACCGGTAGCTGAGGACTTTATAAAACTGAAGTCCCATCAGTAATAATAATAATATTAATAATAATAATAATAATAATAATTGTTAACTGACCAGCAGAGGGTGCTAATGGACAAACTGTATCATCCTCTCAGATTGATTTTACACCACCTAGGACATTGATGCAAATTATAGCAAACAACAATTTTCTGGAATTTTTTTAAAACTCATAAAACTGGACTGGCATCCATCCATCACAAACCCAATGACTTGGACCTGAGTGTGTTAGGAATACATTTTTCAGTCTTTCACTTTCTCTGAAAGACATTAACCTGTCCTCCAGCTCTAATGTTAAAAATCTTGGTGTTATTTTTGATCAGGACATGTGTTTTATCCCCCACATTAAAAACGTTACTAGAACCTCCTTCTTCCACCTGCGTAATATCACTAAGATTAGAAACATCTAAAAATGATGCAGAAAAACTGGTCCATGCATTTGTCACATTTAGGCTGGTCTATTTCAATGGTTTATTATCTGGGTGTCCAAATACGTCTTTAAAACGTCTTCAGTTGATCCAAAATGCTGCTGCCAGAATCTTAACTGGAGTTAGTGGGAGAGATCATATCTCTCCAGTTTTAGCTTCTCTCCATTGGCTCCCTGTCAAATCCAGAATTGAATTCAAAATCTTACTTCTAACCTACAAAGCTCTCAACAACCTAGCTCCATCTTATATTACAGACCTTATTGTATATCTTCCTAACAGAGCACTTCGCTCTCAGGCTGCAGGTTTACTTCTGGTTCCTAGAGTTTCCAAAAACAGAATGGGAGGCAGATCTTTCAGTTACCAGGCTCCTCTCTTGTGGAACCAACTTCCAGTTTCTGTTTGTGAGTCCGACACACTGTCCAGTTTTAAGACTGGGATTAAGACTTTCCTTTTTGATAAATCCTATAGTTAGGGCTGGCTTCGGTTTCATGAGCTGTCCATTAGTTATGCTGCTATAGGTTTAGACTGCTGGAGGACAAATTGACCACATTTTCTCACTCTGCTGCTGTTTTTACTTGCTCTAATCTACCCGTTTGTATTTGTAATTATTTCTGTCTTAACGTGTTTTTTGTATTTCCTCCTATAGAAGTACACCTGGACCTGTTATTCTGCATTTGTCTGTTTCTCCTTCCTGTCCTCTCAAACCCAGCCAGTCGAAGCAGATGGCTGCTCATCCTGAGCCTGGTTCTGCTGGAGGTTTCTTCTTGTTAAAGGAGTTTTTCCTTTCCACTGTCTCCTTTGTGCTACTGCTTCCTCAAATAGAGAACTTTTATTAATTTTCTTTTATGTTCTTGTATGTGAATGTTTTTGTTCAGTGCCCTGAGACAACTTCTGTTGGGACTTGGAGCTACAGAAACTGTAACTGAACTGAACTTCTAGCTTTCACTGCACCCAAAGCTAAATAACTGGTGCTAACTGCATCAAAAACCTGCCATGATTTAGCAAAAAAATCAGCTGTAGAGAATCTGCTAATTCAAAATATTTAACACGTTTCCACAAAGACTTCCTCGTCGTTTAAAAGGTTAATAAGAGGCTGAAGTGAAGGAGCTCTTTATATTAAAGAGACCATGTATATATTTATATAACTAACCATGAGGTCACGTTTATGAATGTAAAGTGCAGAAAACAACAAGCATCCATCTTCGACCCTGACCCGTTCATCTAAAGGTTCAAAAGTTATTTTCCATCTTTGATGAATAATCTGATGTCCACTCCTCAGATGTGAACATTTAGTTCCTATAAACACGAACAGACTTTTGATACTCTCATGTCTGAACCTTCAGAGAAGTTCTTGATTCATAAAATAACCATATGAAGAGCAAAAAGAGAGGACAGAACAGGAACCAGAACCATCTGACGTGAAGCTTTTAAATAGCAGACATTTTTAATGATAAATAAAAAGTGTTTCAAGAAGAATCTGATGGAGGGAAGCAGACCTGCATCCAGAAGAAGAGTCTTTTGGAGCCGGCTTTGAACTTCAGCACATAGACCCGGCCCGTGGTGCACTGGTTGACCCGTTTGAACTCGCAGTCATCAGGGAAGATGATCAGGTCCTGAACAAGAAAACATTTCGTTTTATTAGAAACCCTCGCAGATGAAAGGAGCCTTGGGGCTACAAGCTGTGACCTACGTCATCCACGTTCCCCGTGGTGCGGTCCTTCCAGCAGAAGTGGATCAGGGAGTCGTCCGTCTGCTGGATGTAGACCTGACCCTTACGCTTATCGGGAGTCACCATGCTGCCCTTCATCGTCATTTTACCTGCCCGAAACTCCACCAGGAACTTACTGGAGGAGCCGCGGGAGCCAGACACCATGCTGGGAAACAAAGCTCCAGAAGCCATAATGATGATGAGGAGGTGTGCTGCAGGAGGAAGGGTCCTTAATTAATACATGACATCAAAAGAGCAGCCTGAGAAAAGGCTCCTGGGACAAATGCAGGTGTGTTGTCCCTTTGCAGCAGGTCTATGACCAAACTAACATGGAGAGAATAATATTGATATTTACAATATTTATATTAGGCCTGTCACGATAACAAACTTTGTTGGGCGATTGTCTCAGAATCGAGATAAACGAGAATATTGTTTGAAATTTGACAATAATTAGTAATTATTGTCAAATTTAAGAAGAAATGTTTGTTAATTTATTTTGCATGTAATACCTTTTTTTGACCACCGGATGGCAGTATAAGACTGTTTGAACTGAAGGATGGATAGGGAGGGAGCGAGCAGCATGTCTCTTTAAGAAAAATGGAAGGGAGGCCCCTTGACACTAGAACTATCATTTGTAACCCGGAACCCGTCCCGACCCGGATTCAGACCGGACCAGGCCATAATAATGTGCTGAATGTGTGGGCCGGGTTGGTGTCAGGCTTTTAATTGCGTCAGGAATGCGTGCGACCGACGATTCAATATATGCAAACATGGCTTGCCATACTGTACCTGCCGCACGTGGCCATTTGACCGTGCACTGACCAGCCAGTTGAAAGAGATAAAAAGTTCAGTTAAGCTACAGATGGACTACTGCCAGCAATCTATCAGCCCACATGGACGTTCATTCAGCCACTGCACTCAACGGATACGCGCAGCCAAGAACCAAACAGGTGAGATCACAAAATATCCGACATGTCAGAGCAGGGTCCAACGTAGGCAGAAGCAGGGGAATCATTTAATGCACTTTGACGGCTCTTCAGCTCTGATCTTCTGCCCCTTCAGCCACGCGCATCCGCCAACCGTTAATAATAGTCGGTGTTATAAGCAGTCAAAGCTTAATTAAAATTGTCTGGGTTTTTTTCTGGGTTCGGACATGTTATTACTGTTATTTGTTGGATCGGGTGGGGTTCAGAGATGATGGCTATGGGCTGGGTCAGTTCGATTTATTTGGACCCGAGTGCAACTCTACTTGATGTGACACGGGCTGTCTCTCTTCAGTTCTCAAAATGGCGGACGCAAGGTGTGGTTTGAGCTCTTTAGCATAGCATTTTTTACACAAAGCTTTTAATTAAAATTAGTAAACAAGTTTTCAGCTTCTTTTTGCAGATAAAAACTTTTTACACAAAGCCAATAATTCTCAGTCGGGTCATCAAGACAGTTTCTTTTTTATAGAGACCTTTCACCCTCTACTGGAGGGCTTCATCAGTCAGATGAGGTCCAGTAAACCGTTTCCCTACCAAGCAGTAAACTCCTTAAGTGGATTTGGTACTGGATGATTCAGCATGAACTTTGTTGTTTTTACACAAAGGCACGGGTTTCAACTGTGAATTTTGGAGCTTCAATAAGACGGGGGTTTTTCCCCGAGGTCGGCCTGTTAGCTTAGCTCATAGCTTAGCTTCTCAGCTTAGTAGAAGAAAGAGAGAGACACGATAAAGCCCATAAATGAAAATGAGGTTGATAATTTTCAATTATAATGTGATTAATTGATTAATTGATTTATTGTTTATTGCGACTATTATAATGTTTATATTATAATTTTTATATTATAATATTTATGTTCATTATAAAAGGACAGACAGATGTTTCTCCCATGAATGAATCCATGCATCATCATCTGCTTCTGCTAAAGTCGGGTCTCAGGGGCAGCAGCTTGAGCAGGGAGGCCCAGACACCTCTTTCCACAGCCACCTCTTCTAGCTCTTCTGAGAGGATGCCAAGGTGTTTCCAGGCCAACTGAGAGTTGTATTCTCTCCAGCATGTCCTGGGTCTTTCATGGGGTCTCCTCCCAGTCGGACATGCCCGAAGCACCTCCCTAGGGAGGTGCCTAGGAAGCATCCTTACCAGATGCCCAAACTACCTCAACTGGCTCCTCTCGATGTGGAGGAGCAGCAGTTCTACTTCGGGTCTCACCCTATCTCTATGGGAGAGTCCAGCTACCCGGTGGAGGAAACTCATTTCAACTGCCTGTATCTGCAATCTCATTCTTTCGGTCACTACCCAGCATTCATGACCATAGGTGAGAGTACAAACGTAGGCCGACCAGTTAACAGAGAGCTTTGCCTTGTAGCTCAGCAACGGAAGGGTACAGAATCCTCAATACTGCAGATGCTCCACCAATCTGTCTTGTCAATCTCATGCTTCATTTTTCCCTCACTCAAGAACAAAACCCTGAGATATTTGAACTCCTCCACTTGAGGCAGAACCTCACCCTCAACCCGAAGAGAGCAATCCAACATTTTCCGACTGAGGACCATTACCTCAGATTTGGAGGTGCTGATTCGCATCCCAGCCGCTTCACACTCGGCTGAGAACTGATCAACTGAGAGTTTAAGATTGCGGCACAATGACACCAGCAGGACCGTATCATCTGCAAAGAGTAGAGAGGAAATCCTGAGGCCAGCAAACTGGACTCCCTCTACCCCCTGGCTGCACCAAGAAATTCTGTTCATACAAGTTATGAACAGAATCAGTGACAACGGGCAGCCCTGGTGGAGTCCAACTCCCACCCTGAAGGGGTCCGACTTACTACCGGCAATGCGAACCAAACTCTCGCACCCAACGCCTGTATAGGGACTGAACAGCCCATAGCAATGGGCCCCCAATCCCATACTCATGGCGCATCCCCCACAGTGTACCCAGAGGAACATGGTGAAATGCCTTCTCCAAGTGCACAAAACACATGAAAACTGGATGAGGAAACTCCCATGACCCCTCGAGGACTCTAGTCAGGGTAAAGAGCTGATCCAGTGTTCCACAGCCAGGACGGAACCCACATTGTTCGTCCTGGATCTGAGGTTCGACCAACGATCTGACCCGCTTTTCTAGTACTTGTGAACAGACCTTTTTCATTCATTCATTCAACCTTTATTTAGACAGGTAAATCCCATTGAGCCTCGAGGACTCATTTATAAGAAAGACCTGATTTCAACAAAGAATGATGAAAACAATGGACAACAGCGACAAGAATTACTAGGGAGGCTAAGGAGAATGATGCTCCTATAATTGGAGCTCACCCTCCGGTCACCCTTTTTGAAGAGGGGAACCACCAACCCAGTTTGCTAATCCAGTGACATTGCCCCCGATGTCCACGCGATGTTGCAAAGTCGTGTCAACAAAGACAGCCATACAACAACCAGAGCTTTAAGGAAATCAGGGTGAATCTCATTCACCCATGGAGCCCTGCTGCCACGGAGCTTTTTAGCTACCTCGGTGACCTCAGCCACAGTTATGGACAGACCAACCCTGAAGCCCCCTGACTCAGCTTCTTCCATGGAAGATGTGCCAGTGGGATTGAGAAGGTCCAAGAAGTATTCCTTCTACCTCTCAACGACATCACAATTTGAGGTCAACAGCACCCTACCTTCACTGCTTTCCCCTCCTCAGCTGCCTGATGGTTTGCCAGAATCTCCTCGGGGTTGATCGAGTCTTTATCGAAGGCCTCACCAAACTCCTCCCACATCCGAGCTTTTGCCTCAGCAACAGCCAAGACTACAGACTGATTGGCCCTCCAGTACTTCTAAGCTGCCTTCGGAGTCCCACCAGCCAACAATGCCTGATAGGACTCATTCTTCTATTTGACAACCTCCTTAATCAGGGGTGTCCACCACCAAGTTCGACGATGGCCACCGCGAGATGCACCGCCAACCTTGGTAAAGGCCGCCACCTCAACAATTGAGTCCATGGTCCAATCAAACTCAATGTCCCCCGCCTCAGGTGGGATGCAGTTAAAGATCTCCCAGAAGTGCGAGTTGAAGATCTTTCTGACGGGTTCTTCTGCCAGGTGTTCCCGGCAAACCCCCACTACACGGTTGGGTCTAGTGGATCTGTCCGGTATCCTCCCCCACCATCTGACCCAACTCACTTCCAAGTGGTGATCAGATGACAGCTCAGCTCCTCTCTTCACCCGAGTGTCCAAAACAAACGGCCGCAAATCAGATGAAACGGCTACAAAATTGATCTATGGCCTAGGGCATCCTGGTGCCAAGTGCACTTATAGACACCCTTATGTTCGAACATGGTGTTCATGATGGACAAATTATGACTACCACAGAAGTCCAACAACAGACCACTGCTCAGGTTCAGATAAGAGAGGCTGTTCCTCCCAGTCATGTCCCTATAAGTCACACTGTCATTACCCACATGAACATTGAAGTCCCCCAGCAGAATAAAGGAGTTCCCAGCTGACGCACTGCCCATGGCATCATGCACCCGATTCATATGGCCCCTCCTGTAGGTGGTGGGCCTACAGGACCCATGGCAAACCCATGTTGCTCATTCGGGCTAAGCCCGACCAGGCACCATGGGTAGAGACCTGGTCACCAGGCGCTCGCTGACAAGCCCCTCCCCCATGCCTGGCTCCAGGGTGGGACCCCGGTAACCCACGTCCGGGCAAGTTCCTTGTTTTGGTTTTTCCTTAAAAGTCTTTGTGAATGAAACCTCTGAATTATATTTATAACATTTAATTTATAATATATGTGTTCATTACAACAGGACAGGCTGAAATTTCTCCTCTGAATGACATGAGGAGCTAAACGGACCGATCAGTTTGACTTCATTAGTCCAAACTTGGTTTTCTGAAACCGGCAGAAAATTTAACATTTTAACACATTTTCACGCAGAAAGATAAAATATGAAAAGTGGGAATAACTAAATTTGGCAGGTCATTCTGGTAAGGGTTAGAAATAAAAGGCTTGATCCATTTTTTATATAAAAGTTGATTTTCTTTAGCAGAAAAACTTGGGAGGTCTGTAAATATCCAACAAACTGGTCCAATTTTCTGTTCACTCTAAATCATTAAGATGAAAATCTACAACTCCTTATTATAAAGTGGAATACTTAATAATTTAAATATAAATATAATGTAAATATAAAAGGTCTCTCACGGCTTTAGAAAAGCTCATCTAAATTTCATGTGTGTGATAATAAATAGGAACCCCCAAACCAAGATTTTCACATCCATTATCTTTACCCGTTTATTCCATTTTGGGTCACGGGGGTCGCTGGTGCCCATGTCCAGCAATCACTGTGCGAGGGGCGGGGTACACCCTGGACGGGTCGCAAGTCCATCACAGGGACACATAGAGACACACGAGACAAACAACCATTCACTCTCTCACTCACACCTAGGGACAATTTTAGAGTTACCAATCAGCCTAACATGCATGTTTTTGGTCTGTGGGAGGAAACCGGAGTACCCGGAGAAAACCCACGCATGCACGGCGAGAACATGCAAACTCCACCCAGAAAGGCCCCTGGACCGGGATTTGAACCAGGGACCTGCTCGCTGAGAGGCAGCAGCTCTACCAGTTGCGCCACCGTGCTGCCAGATTTTCACATGTTCTGTTTATTACAAGTCTTTTATTTCATTGTGAGTAAACTATAGTTTTACATGCCAACAATGAATTCTATTTTAATCAGGTATTTAATTTAAATACATGATACATTTGATTGTAAGCCAGGACCATTTGATACTTGTTGAGACATAAATCATGATGAGTTGATGTTGGGAAATGAGAGCAGCTGGTCAGATGTCAATATTTAAAATTAATAATAATATATTAATAATATAATAATAATTATTTGCCAGCAGCTGATCAGATGTTAATATTTAAGTTAATAATATTAATTACAATAATAATTCTGTGCCAGCAGCTGATCAGATGTTAATATTTAAGCTAATAATATTAATAATAAGATTAATTCTGTGCCAGCTGCTGAAGCAGCTCTCCTGGCCTCATGAAGGCAGAGGATGACTCCACATCCTGCCCAACAGAACCGTTTCCAGTCTCCACCGAGCTGCAGATTCACAATTTAACACGCAAATCAAACCCGCAGCCTGGAGCTTCGTCTACAGCTGAAAACCGAACGAAGACCAAACATTTATACTCACATTTCTCCGTAAAATGTTTCTTCAGCCAAGACAAACCAAACACCAAGACCACACCTCTGATTGGCTGACAGGTGGCAGTGCCTCGCTATGATTGGTCGAGCTTTGTGTCAATCAAGACGCCCGAAAAGAGCTGTGTAAGTTCGGTAGAGATAACATGACAGCCTAAATGGATGATACTGTATATACAGGTGCAGGTCATAAAATTAGAATATCATGAAAAAGTTGATTTATTTCAGTAATTCCATTCAAATAATGAAACTTGTAAATTACATTCTTTCATTACACACAGACTGATATATTTTAAATGCTTATTTCTTTTAATGATGATGATTATAACTGACAACTAATGAAAACCCCAAATTCAGTATCTCCGAAAATTAGATTAACACCAATTAAAAAAATTTAAATTTTTTTAGAAATGTTGGACAAATTTAAAGTATGAACATGAAAAGTATGAGCATGTACAAAACTCAATACTTAGTTGTTGCTCCTTTTGCCTGGATTACTGCAGCAATGCGGCGTGTCATGGAGTGGATCAGTCTGTGGCACCACTCAGGTGTTATGAGAGCCCAGGTTGCTCTGATAGTGGCCTTCAGCTTTTTTGAATTGTTGGGTCTGGTGTATCACATTTTCCTCTTCACAATACTTCATAGATTTTCTATGGGGTTAAGGTCAGGTGAGTTTACTGGCCAATTAAGAACAGGGATACCATGGTCTTTAAAGCAGGTACAGGTAACTTTGGCACTGTGTGCAGGTGTCAATTGGAAAATGATATCTGCATCTCAAATTGGTCAGCAGCAGGAAGCATGAAGTCTCTAAAACTTCCTGGTAGACAGCTGCGTTGACCTTGGACCTCAGAAAACACAGTGGACCAACACCAGCAGATGACATGTCACCCCAAATCATCACTGTGTTAGGATTTGTGGTCAGGAGCGAACCCAGAGCGCAGAACAGGGACTCAACTCGGCAGGAATACAAAAATAGGAATTTAATGATAAATGAAAGTACAAAATAACAAGCTGACGGGGCAGCAAAACTTACATAAGCATAGGAAGGAGGCACGGGAAACTCAGGAGACACGACAGACACGGGGAACTCGAGGAACCAGGAAGACTCAGGAGACCCAACGAAGAGACGATGCGATGACGGACAAGACAGAACGGACGGCTTAAATACAGGGACAAGACGAGACGTGATAACAAACAGCTGGGACGAGACACAGGTGGCACTAATAGAACTAATGAGGGAGCACGAGGAAAACAGACACAAACTGGGCCACAGAAAAGTACCATCCTTACACACTGACTGTGGAAACTTGACACTAGACCTCAAGCAATGTGGATTCTGTGTCTCTCCTCTCTTCCTCCAGACTCTGGGACCTTGATTTCCAAAAGAAATGCTAAATTTACTTTCATCAGAGAACATAACTTTGGACCACTCAGCAGCAGTCCCAGGCGAGACAGTTCTGATGCTGTCTCTTGTTCAAGAGTGGCTTGACACGAGGAACATGACAGCTGAAACCCATGTCTTGCATAGGTCTGAGCGTGGTGGTTCTTGAAGCACTGACTCCAACTGTATTCCACTCTTTGGGAATCTTGGTCATGACTCACATCAAAACAACTATCAACATCAGCGAGGACGCTCACCAGTATGCATACTGTGAGAATCGATCAACAGAAGATGCCGACTTCACTGTGGTCCACACTGCTTTTACCCACCTGGAGCAGAAGGACTCCTACGTCCGTATGCTCTTTGTGGACTTCATGTCTGCCTTCAACACCATTATCCCCCAAACCCTGATGGACAAACTATTCACACTAGGACTAAACCCCTCCATTTGCAACTGGGCCCTAGACTTCTTAACAAACAGACTGTAGTCTGTGAGGATCCATAACTTCTCCTCAGTCCTCACCTCCTTCTACAGGTGTGCAGTGGAGCGCATCCTGTGCTCCAGCAGCAACGTGTGGCATGGAGGCTGCACAGAATTCTGTTGGAGTCAGTCTCCCCACCATCACAGACATCTACACCTCCAGATGCAGGAAGAGAGCCACCTGCATCATGAAGGACCCCACTCACCCAGAACACACACTTTTTGCCCCACTCCCCTCAGGAAGGAGGTTGAGGAGCATTAAGTGTAGAACCACTAGACTGAGGAACAGCTTCTACCCTGAGGCTGTTAGACTCATGAATCATTAACCAGGATAATCACTGTAATGATATTTTAATTGGAGATTTGACACTATTTGTGCTGTTAATACACCACATTATATTACATTAATGTTTATCGTATTATCATCCCTATTGTTTCTTTTTATACTTTTGCTATTTTTGGTGGGACCTTGAGTACACAGTTTCATTCCACCTCATGTATCGCATGATGTGAATGACAATAGTCTCCTTGAACCTTCTGGCTGGATTGTTTGACTTCATTTATCCTGGTTTTTAATCAGCACGGTTCATAAAATTTTTGAAGTTTGAGGTCTGAGGCATCCCAGAAGCCGCATGTTGGCTGATTTATCCAATCAGAACAGTTCTGGTGCGTTTGGATCACTGTCTTGTTGGAACACCAAGTTAAATCATCTAGCTGTTGATCTCAGGTGACGTTACCACAGCATGGTGCTACCACCCCATACTTAAGCTAGGTGTGCTCTCAAAGCTTCACTCTGACTCTTCCAAACATCTCATTTTTAACTTGTCCCAATAATTATCTTGTGAACAAGTTTTATAGTTTGAATAAATTATATGAACAATGTTTAGAGCTGTAAGCAGGGAGGAGGTAAAATTCACTCCATACCTGAAACACCTACAGAACTGCAAGCTGTGCTGTAAATTAATCTATTTATCAGCTCCTTTATCATTTTAAATCTATAACACTGGGTATTAATCTATCAAATGCATCTACATACTCGGAGCAGAGGATGCTGTATTTGGTTTTATTACTGCAGAGCTGGAAACTCGTAAAACAAAATAAATTAACAAGACAACAGATTTAGATTGTAGGCCATAATTTATTTTTAAATATGGTTTGTATGCATGATTGTGTTGGGAAACATTTTAAAGAAGAGATGAACAAACGATGTAAACATTTTTAACGGATGATCGATGCAGAGATGAAGGTTTGGACCTGAAGATGTGAGCGGCTCAGGCTTCACAAAGTGCTTCAAATTCAGAGTAAAACAACGAGCAGCCGGAGTCTCAGCTGCAGAGGACTGAGTGCTCACGTACAGATTTAGGCAAAGTGCTTGGAAACCAAACAAACAAAAGGACCAAGAAGCACTGCAGTGTCTGCACGTGTAGTTTTATTTTCAACACTTGTGGAGCGTCTGCAGCACAGACGTGCTGAAGGAAACAGGAAATGGATTGATTCAACATTTCAGCAGAGCTGATTGGACGATCAGTTTGCATAGATTGATGTCTGCAGCGTCCTGTCTCACCGAGCCGGACCACACGACACCGGCTCTGAAACCAGTTTATAAGAGAAGAGAGAGTATCAGCTGACCTACATCCCTCTGTAAAGATGTGCTTCTCAAGTTGTGGGGTGTGGCTTCCATCAGAGCCACCAGGAGACACAAATACGGTCCAAACTTTAATCTGTTTGTCAGACTAAATATGAACATGATCCAAACATTGAAATATTTTGTCTTTTTGTGACAGCAACACCTGCCTGAGAACCATTACATCACACTGCTGATAGGTTATCAATTTAAATACGTCTTATTTGTTCAAATGGTAGCTCAAATCAATCACATTCATATTGACATTCTATGCCCCAAACACAAGTGGAAAAAGGAATAAAGGTAAAAGCTTGAGAACCTTTTTTTATTGTCCAACACAGAAGGATTGAAACGTGATTCGTGCACTCCTGAACCCCGTCCACGTTCAGAGTACAGAACGGAGGCTCTGAAGTCATCACGTCTGTTTCACTTGGAGTTTTCACAGACTTCATGGCTTCAGCTCAAGTAGTTTAACATGTTGGTGAACGTGCACATACATGACTGTAGTTACAGACAGCATCTGTTTACTGGAGACGTAAACAAGCTTACAAGCAGCTTCTTCTACCACAAGTCTCTTTGTGACATTTTAGTGCTGAATACAAGACATGTAATTCTATAAAAGTTGCAGATGTGTTTAAATAATCCCTGATATCTGAAAGAAACTGGACAGAAGTGTAGTTCTGAGTACCTGAACTAAAAGCAGCTGTTTATTTCCTGTAGTGTCCTGCGGCAGCTCCTTTCCACAGACGACGCCCTCTAAGGGTGAGGAGAATATATCTTCAGGTTTAATAACGGAGGTGCCAACATCTATGGTCAGTAAGCTCTAAAAATGTTACGTCTCTTCTCCAGGAGTTTGTTCACAGTCGGCTGCAGATAATCTGATTAACAGAGAAGAGTTTTTCAAAAACCAGAACCAGAGATGGTCTGAGCGTCACAACGCCACGAATCTGAGATGCTGCATCGAAGTGAACGCTGTCAGAAACACCGGGCGTCTCTGGGGTCAATAAATGTCAGGACAGTCGGTGTAGTTCCTGTCGAAGTATCCACCTGTGTACAGCCAATCGTCAGTGCCCGTGTGAGGGTTTGTTCTCAGCTCAAACCACCTGAAGAGACAAAACAAACAAGAGCAACTTTTCATTACAACGTCTTCTAAGAGTTCGAGACACGATGAGCTGAAGAGCAGCAGGAAGAGTTCAAATGACAGAAATACATTAATTCAACCTTTATTTATACAGATTAATCACACTGAGCCTCCGAGACTCGTTTACAAGCGAGACCTGTTTTAGACAAACAGACAAAAGTATGGAAAAGACAAAACACGAGGGGAGGGGAGGTAAAAAAAATAAAATAAATAATCGTATCTCGCACTATGTCCTGGCCGGGGCATAATGTGAGAGTTGAAAAAAAAAAGACCTTGCACATAAATAGCAACATAATGACATCATAATTGGGGTGTCCTTAATGTTGGGAAATTGGCCGATACTTGCATGAGAAACCGATTGTACTATATATTTTTTTGTTTCAACAAGAATTGTTTAAACTTCATTTATATTTCAGAACACAACCTCATGGTCAGTTAAAACAAGTTTGTATTGTTTCTAGGATATTGTTCAAGAGTATGTTTTTCAATAAAATAATATTGGAAAATTGAAGGTGCATTGTGACCTTATAACATCTGACAGTGTCGCTTATAAAACAAAATCGGTATTGGCCAAAATCGGAATCGGCAGGTCAGACTTTTAAGAAATCGGTGATCGGCCAGAAAACTGCAATCGGCGCACCCCTATACATTCATGCATGAGGAGGCAGACGAGGGCAGTGAGTTGTCCGTGGACACTGACAGAAAGTTTCATAGTCCTGATAAAGATGGCACAGTGTCTATCAGCCGGCTCAACTCTGACACAGTTTCACAGATGTCCTCGGGAGGGGAGCGATAGGGGAGGGGTGAGCAGAGCTTCTCGTTCACGTGAACAACCAGGAGAAGTTTGAGAGAGTTGGCCAAATCAAGGCTGAGTGGGAAAGACAAATTCAGATAACACCATTATTTTGGGTCAGGCAGCCTCTGCTTGAATTTCCATGTCTGACTTCAATGTGCTGGTACGTCTCACTGGCGATTCCAAACAGCCAAATTTTGTGGTCACACCGCCGGACTGAGCTTGTAGCCTTCTCCAATGTCAATTCCTTCCCCCCAGTGAGTCCCAGGAGCCGCAAGTGGCCTGCAATTGTCAGAAACCGTGTCCAGCTTACAGCTCAGCTCATTCAGTGTCTGAGTCTGAGAGCTTACCGCTCGGTACACAAGCCGGGCAGCTTTACCAGGGCCAGAACGACTGCCGACGTTTTCCGCATACCTTGTTTTATATGGCACCTTAATTTTATTGTTTTATAACACTACTCAAGAGAAATCCTGATGCAAATTTTAATTGCATTTTATTGTTGTCTGTCTAAAACGGGTCTCTTTTGTAAATGAGTCCTCGTGACTCATTGAGACTAACCTGCATAAATAAAGGTTAAATGAATATAAACACATTTACTAATAAACTGAAGCTACTGGGAGAAAACATGAAAGGTTACAAAGCTGCTAAAAGTTAACGTTTGTTAAGCGTCGTGTTGGCACCAACCTGGTGGTCCACTCCTCTTCATCTTTGGAGCGTTCTCTGCGTGCAGCTCTTTGCTTCTCTTCTAACCTCTCTTTCTCTGCACTCGCTAAATCTGCGCAAACAAACCAGAAACAGATCAGAGAGGAACAAATGGTCCAAATCAGAAGAAGCTCCCCTCTCACGTGTTACCAATGTCTCCGTTCTCCATGGCTCTGATGTCGGGCCTCAGCCGGCAGTCTGTTGGCGCCAGCTGCCTCTCCATGTCGGGCTTCAGCTCGTTTAGTGTCACAGCGAAGCTGGTAAAGTTATAAATCTACCAAACAGACAACAAACAGCAAACATTCAGGCTTCAAAGTTCATGCTCAATAATCCAGGTAAAAAATCCATCAGTTAAGTCAGGTCCTCTGGACGGTTTAATTTTTCGTTGAAACGTTTCGTCCTTCATCCAAAGGACTTCATGAAGTCCTTTGGTATCCCAGCCAGGGAGGATTGAAAACATGTCAATCATCCTAGGCTGGGATACCTGTGGACAGGTGACCTGTCCACAGGTATCCCAGCCTAGGATGATTGACAACATGCCACATTTCCTCTGCATGAGTTGGTTTGACCTCAGAAATAGCATGTTTCATGTCACACCACAGGATTTCTATCAGATTAAGGTCCGGGGGCAAGGCTGGCCCCTCCATAACATTTGCTGGTCTGGAACCAAGAGGCTGCTCACTAATTGGTCATTGGTTTGTTGAAACACTTATTTTAAGGGCATTTCCTCTTCAGAATAAGACAACATGACCTCTTCAAGTACTTATATATGCAAACTGATTTCTTGAATGTGATGAACAGGGCTGACACCATGGTAAGAGAACCACCTCCATGATACAATGCTGGAACCACCATGCTTCACTGTCTTCAGAGTGCTGTGGCCTGAATCCAAACTGTCTGAAGGCCTCAGACCCAAAAAGAACAATCTGACATTCACCAGTCCACAAAATGTTTCTCCATTTCTTTTTTAGTCAGTTGATGTGTTGTTTGGCAAACATTATCTTCTTCATCACACCTTTTTTAACAGTGGGACTTTGCAGGGGTTTCTTTGCGGGGGCTTCTTTGCAGGGGCTTCTTTGCGGGGGCTTCTTTGCGGGGGCTTCTTTGCGTGAGCTTCATTGCGGGGGTTTCTTTGCGGGGGTTTCTTTGCGTGGGTTCCTTTGCATGCTTTTCTTTGCGGGGGCATCTTTGCGGGGGGCTTCTTTGCATGGGATTCTTTGTGGGGGTTTCTTTGTGGGGGCTTCTTTGTGGGGGCTTCTTTGCGTGGGCTTCTTTGCATGCTTTTCTTTGCGGGGGGTTTCTTTGCATGGGCTTCTTTGCGTGGGTTTCTTTGCGTGCTTTTCTTTGCGGGGGCATCTTTGCGGGGGGCTTCTTTGCATGGGATTCTTTGCGGGGGTTTCTTTGTGGGGGCTTCTTTGCGTGGGTTTCTTTGCGTGCTTTTCTTTGCGGGGGGTTTCTTTGCATGGGATTCTTTGCAAGGGTGTCTTTGCGGGGGCTTCTTTGTGAGGGTGTCTTTGTGGGGGCTTCTTTGCGAGGATGTCTTTGCAGGGGCTTCATTGCGAGGGCGTCTTTGCGGGAGCTTCTTTGAGAGGGTGTCTTTGCGGGGGCTTCGTTGCATGGGTTTCTTTGCATGGGTTTCTTTGCGGGGGCTTCTTTGCAAGGGTGTCTTTGCGGGGGCTTCTTTGCAAGGGTGTCTTTGCTGGGGCTTCTTTGTGTGGGATTCTTTGCGTGGGTTTCTTTGTGGGGGCTTCTTTGCATGTTTTTTTTTGTGGGGGCTTCTTTGTGTGCTTTTCTTTGTGGGGGCATCTTTGCGGGGGG